ACATACCCCTGGATTGTTCCTAAATGTTCACTATTATAATTATACTTCCCCACCCCATTGATGTTGAATTTAGACATATGTCTTGATTTGGCCAGTGGAATGTTAAACAGAGGCTTTAAATATATTTGCATGGTTTGGCTTGCCCTCTTGAACTCTTGTGATTGGCTATGAGCAGAATATGCTCTAGTTGGCTGCTGGTCTAGGTGAAGAAAGAAAGGTGGAATAAACCTGAACCCAACCCACAATTAGGAGCTAAGTTTGGCTGATTTCTGATTAGTTCAGTAGAGCCACAGCTGACCTTCAGATTCATGAACAAGACAATAAATGTTTGCTATTGTAAGTCATTAACAGTCTGAGGGTGTTATGCATTAAAATCTGAAAACTACAGAAATTGATATGCAGAAGTAAGATGCTGTCCTAACAAAACCTAAACTTTGTCATAGTCATTGCTTTTGTGACTGGATAGTAGGTAATTAGGAAAATATAACAGAAAAATAGTGACACATTCACAAGCACATGGAAATTAAACAATACGCTCCTGAACAGCCAATCGGTCAGTAAAGAAATTCAAAGGGAAATTCAAAAATATCTTGAGACAAACAAAAAATGGAAATACAATATATCAAAACTTATCAGATGCAGCAAAAGCAGTTCTAAGAGGGAAGTTCACATCAATAAACACCTACATCAAAAAAGAAGATCTTTTGAGCTGGGGCTGGAAAAAAGATAAGTTCTGAAATACACAATTTAGTGTTACACTTCAAGGAACTAGGTAAAGAAGAACAAACTAAGCATGGAGTTAGCAGAAGGAAGAAAATAATATCAGAGCAAAAATAAATGAAATAGGGACTAGAAAAACAATAGTAAAGATCAATGAAATGAAGAGGTTTTTTTTTTTGTTTGTTTTTTTGTTTTTTGTTTTTTTGTTTTTTAAACAAAATGGACAAATCTATAGCTAGACTAAGGAGACAGAGAAGACTCAGATAAAGTCAGAAAAGAAAGATGAGACATTATAACCGACACTACAGAAATAGGATAATAGGATCATAAAAGACTGCCATTATAAACAATTATATGCCAACGAATTAGATAACCTAGAAGAAATAAATTCCTAGCTACATATAACCTACTAAGACTGAATCATGAAGAAGCAGAACATCTGAATAGATGAATAATGAATAAGGAGATTAAATTAGAAATAAAAAGTTCCCCATCAAAGAAAAGCTGGGGACCTGATGGTTTCACTGCTGAATTCTACCAAACCTTTAAAGAGGTACTAATATGAATCCTTCTTAAACTCTTCCGAAAAATTGAAGAAGAGGGAGTATTTCCAAATTCATTTCATGAGGCTAGCATTTCTCTGATACCAAAGCCAGACAAGTAAGCTACAAGAAAAAGATAACAGGCCAATATCCCTGATGAGCATAGATGCAAAAATCCTCGACAAAATACTAACAAACCAAATGTAGCAGCACAATAAAAGATTATTCATCATGATCAAGTGGATTCATCCCAGGAATACAGGGATGGTTCAACATATGCAAATTGATAAATCTGATACATCACAACAGCAGAATGAAGGACGAAAACCCTATGATCATCTCAATATATGCAGAAGAAAACATTTGATAGAATTCAACATCCTTTCATGATAAAAATGCTCCACAAATAAGATATAAAATGCATGTACCTCAATACAATAAAGGCCGTCTATGACAACCCAAAACTAACATCATACCCAGTGGTGAAAACTTGAAAGCTTTTCCTCTAAGATCAGGAACAAGACAATGATGCCCACTTTTACCACTTCTGTTCAACATAGTACTGAAGTCCTTGCCAGAGGAATTAGACAAGATTAAAAGGAAGAAGTTAAATTGTCCTTGTTTGCAGACAACATGATCTTATATATAGAAAACTCCATCAAAGAACATAATTTAAAAATTCAGCAAAGAACAGAATTTAAAAATTCAGTAAAGTTGAAGGATAAAAAAACATGCAAAATCAGTAGTGATTCTATACAAACTATAATTAATAAACTATCTAAAAAACAAGCTATCTAAAAAAGAAATCAAGAACATAATTCTGTTTATAATATCTACCAAAAAAAGTAGGAATAAATTTAACCAAGGAAGTGAAAGACCTGTATACTGACAATGATAAAACATTGATAAAAGAAATAGAAGACATGGAATATCTTCTATGAAGAAATGGAAAGGTATCTTGTGCTCACGGATCAGAAGAATTGTCAAACTGTCTATACTACCCAAAGTGATCTACAGATTCAGTACAATCCCTATTAAAATTCCAATGGGATTTTTCAGAGAAATAGAAAACAAATTCTATAACTTATATGGAACCACAAAAGAGCCCAACTAGCCAAAACAGTCTTGAGCTACATGAACAAACCTGGAAGCTCACACTGTCTGACTTTAAAATATACTATAAAATGACAGAAATCAAAATGGCATGGTACTGGCAGAAAAACAGACACATAAACCAATAATGAAATAGCCCCAAAATAAATCTGTGCATTTGTAGTCAATTGACTTTTGACAGAAGTGCCAAGAACACACAATGTGAAAAGGACAGTATCTTCGATAAATGCTGTTAGGACAATAAGATATCTACATGCAAAATAATGAAATTAGACTCATCTCACACTATGTACAAAAATCAACTAAAATTGGATTAAAGACTTAAATGTAAGACTTGAAACTATAAAACTACTGAAAAAAATATAGGGGAAGAGCTCCATGTCATTGGTCTGGGCAATGATTTTTTTGGATATGAACTTGAAAACACAAGCAACAAAAGCAAAAACAGATACATGAGATTACATCAAACTAAAAAGCTTTTGTACAGCCAATGAAACAATCAACAGAATGATGAGACATCTAATGGGACGGGAGAAAATATCTGCAAACCGTACATCTGATAAGGGGCTAATATCCAAAATGTATCAGGTACTCAATAGTAAGAAAACAAATAGCCTGATTAAAAAATGGGCAAAGGCTCTGAATAGATATTTGTCAAAAGAACAAATACAAATGGCCAACAGGTATATTTAAAAATGCCCTGCATCACTAATCATCAGAGAAATGCAAGTTAAAACCAAATATGGATATTACCTCATGCTTGTTAGAGTGGCTGTTATTAAAAAAAAAAAAAAAAGATAATCAGTGTTGGAGATGTGGAGAAAAGGAACCCCCGCACACTATTGGTAAGAATATAAATTAGTACAGCCATTATGGAAAACAGTATGGAAGTTCCTCAAAAAATTAAAAATAGAATTATCATCTAAACTAGCAATCCTACCACTGAGTCTATATCTACAGGAAAGGAAATCAGTATGTCAAAGAGATGTCTGCACTCCCATGGTCATTGCAGCACTATTCACAATAGCCAGTGTATGGAATCAACTTAAGTGTTCATCAACAGATAAATGGATAAAGAAAATGTGGTATGTAGCACGATGAAATATTGTTCAGCCTTTAAAAAGAAGGAAATCTTGTCATTTGGAGTAATATAGATGAACGTGGAGAACATTATATTAAGTGAGATAAGCCAGGCACAGAAAGATCATGATCTCACTTATGTGTTGAGTATTAAAAACAAAAAAACGCTGAGCTCATAGAAGTTGAGAGTAGAATGGTAGTTACCAGGGGCTGCAGGAGTGAAGGGGTGTGGGTTGGGCAGGTGTTGGTCAAAGGATGCAAAATTCCAATTAGATAGGAGGAATAAGCTCAAGAGATCTATTGTTATATCATTGTGACTGTAGTTAATAACAACATATTATACTGAAAATTGCTAAGAATAGATTTTAAGTGTTTTCAGTGTTCTCACCACAAAAATAAGTATGTGAGGTAATGAATATGTTAGCTCAATTTCACCATTCCACAAGGTATACCTATTTCAAAACAATGTGTCATATACAATAAATACATATAATTTTTACTTATTAAAAACAAATGAATTAAAGAAGAATTATGACACAAATTATGTAGAAGTGATACATTTAGTAACACTGTCTCAAGTGATAGTTTGAAAGACAGAAAATCTGCCTAACAGATTGGGTCACTGGAAAAAGGTTTTGAGGTAGACTATTAACAGTGTGTGTTAGGGATTATATTGCTTGGTTTCCCCTTATATACTCCAGGTTTTCACCATAGGATCTTCCCTGTGTATTCTCTAGCCCAGGCAAATGAGAAACATGTGGAACATAACTGAACTCAACCTGTAGCCTGAATCCAAGACCAGTTGACCCAACCCATGTCTAATAGAGCCAACCTGCAGACCCATGAGTGAGAAAATAAAATTTTGTTGTAAGCCACTGAGGTTTTGAAGTTGTTATGTACCAAAAAGTAGTTAATATACCTAGTATCTACTTGGCTTGTCCCTCATTTCCTTTGAATTCTTACTTAAGTATTTATCTTTTACTTTGGTAGCCTCTATCCAAAACTGCAATATCCACCTAAACTCTTTATTCCCCCTCCTGCTTTTTTACTCCTTAGGCACTTATCCCCATGTAACACATCATGTGTTTTACTTACCTTCTTTATTTTTTATCTCTCCCTGCCAGAATGTAAGATAACAAAGGGAAAGCTGTTGTCTCATTTTGTTCACTGCTCTATCCTCAGCACTCAGCCAGCGCCTGATAAGTAGTTGGAGCTCAATACATAGTTGAATAATAAATTCATAAATTAAGCAGTCAGGTGATGTATGTTAGGCTACCACCTCTGTCACTAACAAGTTGTATGGCTTTTAAGAAATAATTTCATCTCTATGGATCTTAAGTATCCTCATCTATAAAGCAAGGATGTTAGAATAAGAAACCCTAAGGTTAAATAATTCTATGATTTAAAATATGTACATAGTTGGAAAATAAGTAACAGTGATGATAAAATAATGACATATCTGCAATTTTTTACCTGATTATTAGTCACAATAAGAACAGTACCTACACAGCATATCCACATATAAGCAAAAATATTCAGTCATACCTGAGAAGTTAACTTGAGAAGGTCAGTCAGAGAGTCAATGGATTCTGAACTGTCAGAGCCTCGGCTACTACGAAAAAAATAATTTTGGTTTACACAATGTTTTGGTGACATCTTAATATTTCAGCTGTTGCTTTTATTCTCTTATTTGAATGGTTGAAAAGTTCTAATTATAAGAAGTGGCTGGGCGCAGTGGCTCACGTCTGTAATCCCAGCACTTGGGAGGCCAGGGCAGGTGGATCACCTGAGGTCAGGAGTTCGAGACCAGCTTGACCAACATGGTGAAACCCCGTCTCTACTAAAAATGCAAAAATTAGATGGGCATGGTGGCACATGCCTGTAATCCCCGCTACTCAGGAGGCTGAGGCAGGAGAATCGCCTGGGCCCACGAGGCGGAAGTTTCAGTGAGCCAAGATTGTGCCATTGCACTCCAACCTGGGCAGCAAGAGCGAAACTCTGTCTCAGAGGGGTGGTAGGGGGGTGGTGGGGAAGAAGAAGAAGAAGAGGAAGAATGTTTACAAAGGTGGTTTAGATGTTTAGTAGTTCCAGATAACTTAGAGGGTTTTTGTTGAATGTGTGGAGAGATATAAAGGTTTGGGAATGTGTTAATGGAATGTAAGCTCCAGAAAAGTAGTTTTTTTTTTTCCATCTGGCTCACTGCTCTATCACCAGAGTGGAAATAGTGCTCGGCATGTAGTAGGCACTCAGTAAGGTTTGTTAATACGTTAATGAATAAATGCGATATCAGGGGAGTTTCCTAGATGTCATGGGTATCAATAGCTCTTAAAATTCATTTATTTTTATATCACTATATCCATCCTACATAAAGCAATGCAGCACCATATGAAACATAGTACCTCAAGAAAAAAGGGTCAAACAAATCTATTTCTAATTATAATCATTTATTGCAATGGTAGGAATTTTTTTTTTTTTTGCTTGAGAGCCAATACAAGAAAGAAAACATTTCTGGGTTGTATTTTTCATGTATTATTTTAAAATTAATATAATTTATGTTTTTAGAAAAGTTCTAGGTTTACAGAAAAATTGAGCAGGTAGTACAGAGTTCCCATACACATGCCCCCATTCCCTGCATAGCTTCCTAAATTATAGTATGCAGTACATTTGTAAATTAGACATCTGATAGTATGTGGTACATTTGTTACAACTGATTAAACAACACTGATACATTATTAAAAATTATAGTTTACCTTAGGGTTGACTCTTGTGGTATACATTCTATGAGTTTTGACAACTTTATAATGATATATATCCATCATTACAGTATCATAAATAGTAGTTTAACTGCCCTAAAATTCCTCTGTGCTCCATCTATTTATCCGTCCTTTTCCCAGAACTTCTGGCAACCCAGTGTCATATAGTTGGGATCATATAATATGGGGTCTTTTCAGACTTACATTTTTCACTTAGCAATATGAATTAAAGCTCTGCCATATATTTTTATGGTTTGATAGCTCACTTAAAAAATCACTGAATAACATTTCATTGTCTGAACGTATGTTTCTTTCTCCATTCACCTACTGAAGGACATTTTGGTTGCTTCCAGTTTTTGGCAATCATGAATAAAGCTGCTATATGAATGCAATCACTGGATCAAGTGTTGAGTTCTTGTTGCTCCTCATCCTCACTGGCATTTGGTATTGTCAGTGCTTTGGATTTTAGCCATTATAATAGATGTGTCATGACATTTCACTGTTGTTTTAATCTGCAATTTCCTAATGAAAATGATGTCAAGCATCTTTTATTTTTATTTTTTTCACATGTCAAGCATCTTTAGACTTACTAATTTTTTTCTTTCATGGATCATGATTTTGTCATATCTAAACAGTCATTACTGAATTCAAGAGAATTTAGATTTCCTCCTATGTTATCTCCTAGGAGTTTTATAGTTTTGTCTTTTACACCTAGATCTATAATTCATTTGGAGTTAATTTTTGTGAAAGGTGTAAAGTTGCTTCTAGTTCACATTTTTGCCTGTGGATGTCCAGTTGTTCCAGTAACATTTGTTGAAAAGACTTATTTCTCCATTTAACTAGGGATTTTTGTTGCTCTTTTTTCAAACACCATTGACTATATTTGTCAGCGGTGACAAATATATTGGATATATTTCTGAGTTCTCTGTTTTGTTTTATTGGTCTATTTGTCTGTTCTTTCTCTAGTACTGCACTGTTTTAATTATGTAGCTTTACAGTAAGTCTTAAAGTCAAGTAGCGTACGTCCTTAGATTTTGTCCTTCTTCAGTATTTTGTTAGCTATTTCAGGTCTTTTGCATACCCATACAAATTTTAGAATTAGTTTGTCTATAGCCACAAAATAACTTTCTGGGATTTTGACTGGAATTACATTGAGTCAAAAATCATGTCAGGAGGAACTGACATCTTAACAATATCGTCTTCCTATCTATGAACACAAACTCTCTCTCCATTTATTTAGATCCTCTTTGATTTCTCTCCTCAGAGTTTGTAATTTTCCTCATATATATCTTACACATATTTTGTTAGCTTTAATCCAAGTATTTTAAATTTCTGTGCTAGTGTGGATGGTACTTTGTTTTCAATTTTAAATTCCAATTGTTCGTGGCTGGTATATTGAAAGGCAATTGTATATTAACCTTGTATATTTAAATCTTTCTATAATTATTAGTTTCAGGTTTTTAAAAAATTCTTTGATATTTTCTACATCAATAATCATGTCCAGTGTGAACAAAGATAAATATTTTAACTAAATTAAATGTAAAATACAACTTATTAATATTTGTAGAATGGTGCACAAGCAGTGCTTAGAGGGAAATGTATAGCATTGAATGCATATATCAGAAAAGAAGAAAGCTTTAAAATGAACAATCCAAGTGTCCACATTAGGAAATCAGAAAAAGGAGAAATAGAGACTTAATGCAAGCAGAAAAAAAGAAATAATTTAAGAATCAGAGAAACTGAAAACAGGGAATCAATAATCAATGAAAACAATGCTGCTGTTTTGAAAAGATTAATAAAATAGATAAATCCCTAGCCAGGTTAACCAAGAAAAAAGAAAGGGCACAATTTGCTAACGTCAGAAATAAAAGAGGGGTCATCACTACTGCTGCTATTGAAATTAAAGAGAAAAAGAAGGAGTACTAACAACTGTGTCCTCACAAATTTTATAGCTTAGATGAAATAGACCAGCTTCTTGAAAGACACAGTCTACCAGAACTCACACTGGGAGATATATAGATCTAACAGATAGATATATAGATCTACTAGATCTATATCAATTAAAGAAATCGAATTGAGAATTAGTGACCCTGCAAAACAAAGCACAAGTCCCAGATGGTGTATTGTGGATTCTACCAAACATTTAAGGAAAAAATAATACTGGTTTTCTAAAATCTGTTCCAGAAAATAGAAACAGAGAGAACACTTACTTTTTCTAAAAGGCTAGCATTATCCTAATACCAAAAGCAGACAAAGATACTGTCAGAAAGAAAAACTACACCAATATATCTTATGAACACAGGTGCAAAAATCTTTGAGAAAATATTAGCAAATTGAGTCCAACAAGGAATAAAAAGAATTATAAACCATGACCAAGTAGGGTTTATTCCAGGTATGCCAGGCTGTTTAAACATTAAAAAATGAGTTGATGTAATCTGTCACTTTAACAGGTTAAAGCAGAAAAAAATATATATCAATAGGTGGAGAAAAAGCATTTGACAAAATCCCACACATATTTATGATAAAAACTCTCAGCTAACAAAGTAGAGGGAATCTTGTTCAACTTGGTATCTACAGAAACCTTACAGCTAACATCATACATAATGGTGAGAAACTAGATGCTTTCCTGCTTTGACTGAGGACAGGACAAGGATGTCTTCTCATAGCTCTTCCACTCAGTATCATACTGGAAGTTCTAGCTAATATAGTAAGACAAGTGCTATGATATGGTTTAACCCTTATGCTTTGTCCCCACTCAAACTCATGTTGAAATTTGATTCCTAATGTGCCAGTGTTGGGAGGTGGGGCCTAGTGGGAGATGTTTGGGTCATGGGGGTGGGTCCCTTATGAATGACCTGGTTCTCACTCTTGTGAAACTGGATTAGTTGTTGTGGTGATGGATTCGTTCCCACAAGAGTGGGTTATTATAAAGCAAAGATGCCCCTTGGGTTTTTGCCTCTTCCCCTGTGTGCACTTCCTCTTTGACCTTCTCTGCCATGTTATGATGCAGCATGAAAAGCCCTCACCAGAAGCTGAGCAGGTGCTACTATCGTGCTTGTACTTCCTTACCTGCAAAACCATGAGCTAAAGAAACCTCTTTTCTTTATAAATTACCCAGTTTTAGGTATTCTGCTGTAGCAACATTAAACAGAGTAAGACAATAAGAGAAGCAAATAAGAAGCTATACAGATTGATAAATAAGAAAACTGTCTGGGTTGTATTTTGGATATAAACAAGCAAACATACAAATATATGTGTGCATGCATATTTTATAACAGTAATATGTATACACACATATTTATGTTTTTAAGCATATTTTAATTGTCTACCGTTAAATATTTTCCTTTTTTGGCTAAGAAACTACATAACTAGTTTATTATATTTACCGCAGTATCTGAATGAATGTGCATTAGAAAATATTTTTTTATTAAACAAGATACCTTTTAAAGTTGCTTTATCTTTTTTATATTAATTATAAAATATTGCTTGTTCTAGTGGCACTATTGTATTCTCTATAAGGAAATATTTTCCATTGCAAATCAGAAAATGTATCAATGCTTTTAAATCAAAGAAACTTCTACATTTCCTTATTTTGAAACACAATGCTCCTTTTTAAGCAGCAGCTATAAAAGGAATTTAAGTTTCATTTGGAAAATTTCTCCTCTGCACTCACAATTTAAGTTCCAATGGATTTTATTTTACTTTGCTTCTCAGACACAGCTACAAAGTACTTATAAAATGGCCCTCCAGGTAAATTTACTTATCTTTATTTCTGTGTTAGATCCAGCTTAAAGAGAGCCAAAGGCAAGAGGACACGCTGAGGTTAATTCACTGTAGGCCTTAAACTCCTCATTTGTAA